AGTCATAATATTTAGATATATATTTTAATGTTTGACTTATCTACTTCCGAAAATAAACTTTTTTGAATGCGCTTTACTTTTTTCAAATAGGAACAGCACAACAAGTAGAGAATACCAAAACGTTTGTGCTTTACACTTTTGCTAGTTGTTGCGTTTAAGGAGGGAGCTGAGTGCTTTCAAAAATGGTTAGACAATAAGCCCCCGTTTTAACTCAGCGAAGTAGAAGAAGTTTCAATCTAGAATATCTCTAAATATTTGCTTCTAACATTTATTTAAGAGACCAAAAATTACATGAGTGAAAATGCATCACAAGCAGTTGAGGTACCTATGTATCTAGTATTAAAATAAAAATAATTCAATTTGGTGACATACATTTAAATATAATATATAGCCCATGCACAACTTCGGTTCCTATGAGATTTCCATTATATTTCTTTGAAAATAGACACTCCACTTACCAATTTTATCCTTTTTTTTTATTTATAATTACCACTTTTAATACTTTTATATTGTATTTTTTATTAATTTTATATTGAATTTTTATAATTTAATTCTTGTATTGTTTTTCAATTTGCGTTAATTGTATGTTAGTTAATACATTTTTGGATGAAGCTTAATTGAGTCTTATATATAAAACATTTTTATCATACACAAGTTGTACATAGACAAAATTTAATTTATATGATTTATTAGATGTATACAGGAGGTTTTTCAGACATTATACATACCATGTAGGAATAAACTAGCTAGATACTGGCGTCAAATATCTGGAATTATTAATAATTACTCTCGTGAAAAATGAATGCATGATACGGATTTTCTATTCTTACATTAGTTGTTAAATGGATGTAATATTACTTACCAGAAGTTACTTGGCCTCGGCCGTAAATTTCTGATTCGGCCGTAAAAGATCAACTCGATACTTACAGTCTTTGGTACACAAATATCTATTTTAATTCTCTAATGTCATTAAAAATTTATGAAAAATGTATTTCTCATCTATAAAATTGTTATTTCTGATAAAGAAATATGTTAGTTTATAAGAACAAAAATAAAACCTGAATCGATAACAAATCAATGAAAATGTTGCTAGAGTTGGGGACGTTTTTATGGAAAATTGCAATGTTACTATTTTACTAATAAAGCTACAGTTAAATTAACTTAGCATTAAAATTTTTATTTAAATATAAATATATTATCCGAATAAAATTAATGCCGTTAGTCAAGGTTTAAAGGCCACGTCACTTCAACCTTTTTCATGCTTTTAGTTTATATGTTTGTGAAAAGAGATCTATTGTTAGTTAACAGTCTCCATTAGATCTTTCTTGGAACAAGATTACAGACTATAAAGGTAAGTTTCAACAAATTTATATATTGGTGTCTATCCATTATAAATTACTTTCAAAGCATATGTTTGTTTATTCTTAAGAAATGATAAAATCTGTTACATATCATTTTTTTTATATTTTTAAAAATAAGTAACTGCCTTAATTCCTATTTTTTGACATCCCTCGTATATGCTAAAAAAAATTTAAATTTATCACTTCAAGTGGTAAGAATGCTACCTACCTATAGGTATACAAGGGAAAAGTAAATTGGATTTTTTTTATTGTTGAGTTTCAGAAATATTAATTTCACCTGGTTTTAAAATAAGATAAAATGATTAAAACGGACCTGCAAAGGCACCAATCTCACCAGTACTCCTGTGACCTAATGGGTAAATTCAGTTTGGCTTACATTTTTCAATAGGGATTATTGTTCCATTTTAAATACACAGTTTACTGATATCTACCTATAAACAATATTAACAGTTTAATTATTTGAATTATAAGTATCATTTATTACATTTGAATAAAAAATAGAATTAATTTTTGTAAAATGAAATTTTATGCATGAGTTGCATTGTTTTTTAAATTTGTTATTGACAAAATATTTACAAAAGAATGCTTTGGGTTCTGATGAGAAAACTATTTGATACGCCCATGGGGAACACGGCTGTCAAAAGTTCGTAGATACTGGCTTCAAACAAAGCCTATGTAAAACTGCGCCCGTAACACATCTATATTTCATTTGTTTATCAGGTTTTGGATTTTAAATACTATAAAAATGGTGAAAAGTCCATAACTTTTAAATATTTCTCAAATAATACTTAAAATATTATGCATTTAAAGTAAAACAAACTATAAACTTTCCACCATTCTTTACCGTACTCTGTACTCTGAACCCATTTTTTAAAAACAATTTTTGAAATATTTTCGTTCAGAGCTGTATTTTTTGTGATAAAAAAGTCGCCGTCACTTGTCATTGACAACGCGTTGAACTTGGCCTTAACTTATGTCCGTTTCACCACCATTATATCAGAACACAAAACAACGTTTTCAGACATCCTGTATAAAACTTTTGATAAACCTGTACTAACCGATTTCTCATACACACACGGTCGTAATAATTTGATATGAATGCTGTAGGCTAAGGATGATTCCCCTACCGCAATTAGTAACATCTCAGAGAACGATGATGCTCTATTTTCATTGGATTCAAAACAATTCTACCGGCGCCTAAGGGCACCTCATGCAGATTAAAAATCATTATGAAACTTTCCCCTTGCTTGTAGTTATCCCTTAGACTTACAAAGGACGAAATTATTATAGTTGTTTTATTTCTAAATTATACTTAGTGACTCATATATAACTAAATTTTATGCTAGTACAAGAGATTTTCATTTAGTATAAAATTGCCTGGTGCTAATAAACGATATAAAAACCTAGAATGACGTGGTAATCAAAAACATGATTAAAAGGTTTAATTGTTTTTTTTATATTATAACCCCGTTTAAATAATACATTTTACAGCAGTTCTTACACGTGATCTGATTTGTAATACTCACTGGATATGAAATGAACCATATTCACGTCGTGAAAAATGTACCAACAAGGAAATTGGAAGTGCTTTGAAATATAAAAACGGGCAAATTTTAAATTTAGTACAGAGTTTAAATTTTTTTTTTTGTTTAAAATTTGTAAGAACTGCAATATGAATGGAAATCTAAAGAATCCATACAAACTTAAAAGTAAAAAATTTGTTTCAATTGAATTCAATTAAAATTACGTACCAAAGTAAATCAAACAAATTGGTTATTACACCAGGCAATGACTTGCATTGAACCAAAGAATTAAATGCCATCCTCTTTGATAAGCGTACCAATACTGCGATGTGGATCTCTTGAGAGAGCTTCTTATTAAAAGACTTTCTAGCCATTTTCCTGAGGTGTCCTAACTCGTGACACTAACATGCGGTAGTCGTCTGATCGTATTGGACCAGCCTCAGGGGGCAAAATTTCTTATAAGTATTGTTTATTGTGCTTTGGATAGTGTTCGAGTACTTCTTCAAAGCATTGTTATTGTTTGGTATTTCGGCCTCTACCTCTCTCAAAACCTCTTGAAGAAGGTGAGCATAGGTTGCTCTGTCCGTCTTCCTAGGGTCCGACTTTGAAATGGCATCAGGCAATTGCCAGTTTAGAATTGATTTAGATATCCTACTTCAGATCTACATAATCCTAGATGTTATCTATCTATAAATGAATCGGTCATTTTGAAAAGGGGTCACATCCACTTTCTTAAATTTTACAGGAGAGATAAAAAACCTTTTATCTTTAATTCTATTTGAAAATAATCTTTTGTAAGATATTGTTTACTTTAAACATTAACTTTTATTAAGATGAATTATTAAAAAGCATAATTTGTATTTTAAAAGGGGTTAAAATTGACATTTTTTGAAAAAGAGATGGCCCGTTTTCAAAATGAATACGTATTTAAAATCAAAATAGAATATAAATATTGTTTATTTTAAACAACAAAGTGGTATAAAATACATTTTAATACAAAAAACAAGATCTTTAATTTTCCTCCGTTTCTTCAGCGATGGTAGTGGGCTATTCGTAGATAGTACTTTAAAATTCCTTGTATTTATCTGGAATATATTGCTGAAGCTTCTTTATATCCTCAATTTTCTTATCATTTATCGGAATTTTGCCTTGATAGGCAGGAAAATTCTGAGGATTGGGCACCACTATTGTCGGAATGGCTTCTTTGTAGAGTTTTCAAAAGAAGATAACGTTCCTCAACAAGGCTGCCAATGTATGGTTAGGCAAAGACGACACCCAAATTTTCCGAGTTAAAGCTGAATTTATAGAAGGAGTTGATAGTAAAATTAATCTTCTCTTCTTTTGGAACTTGTTTGCCAAGACTTCATATTCTTCATATTCTCCTACAGACAAAAATCCGGTCGAGGCGATGAATTTTTCTTTTTACTTTGCCAAAATCCCTGCCACAATCATCGTCAGGGCCTTTGTGTCCTTCGCCTTTGTGGTCTAAACGATTACTGGATAGATTGTATCATTCGATCCGCAAACCGCAAAATATCCATAATACTTAATAAAACGTTGGCGGTGGGAACAAAACATGATTCATTTTGAGAAGGGGTTATATCTCCTGGAGATAACTCGTTTTCTATATGAACAGATTTTTGTGTGGTGTGAATAGGCAGTAAAAACTTTGAAAGATAACCTGCTTTCATCTTGAATGGATGCTTTTAGACATGCTGAAAGTAAAATCACCAAAAATTGAAAATGTCAAAAAAGTGAATGTGACCCCTTTTCAAAATGACCGATTCAAATATATATTGTAACGAAATGAATTTACAACTATAAATAGTTATGTTTTACAATTATTTTACCTTGTAAAAATGTATCATCCTATATATTAAAAACAATATTGGTCGCAAATGTAAAAAATTAACGAATAACTTTATTGTAGTTGGTTAAAATGTTAATGATAAAAATGTATTTCGAGAAAAATCCTACACCTTGATTCCTGACCAAAAAATTATAAAAAAATATTTTTCAGTTTTTTTTTGTGAATAGTATAACAGTTATCTTAAAATCAATTAAAGGCTTTTTTTTAATAATACACGAATCTATTAAAACTATTGGTCAGTAATGGTTACTTAGTAGCGGTTTCTAAAAAAAACAAAAATTGAAAGCAAATTCATATAATTTTTAACAGAAAACTTTCCAACTTAATAACAGAATTCTATTATTGAAATAAAAGTATTTATTAATTTTAATGTATAATTACGGCACATAAAGCATATAATGCATTACTAAGCTGACAATGATAACAGACGTTTATAACTATGATATTCGTTGAAAACATAATATATATCTAACAAAAGGTATTAAAGTATATAAACGTATCTAAGGAAAGTAACAAATGTTAAATGTGAAGTTAAAAAATATTTGTTGCTGTAAAAGTACATTCTTCACTTAATGATATGCATCAATTTTACTAGCTATTTCTTTATCATTTTTATTTCATGATTTACCCATGCCTCCTTTTGGGTAGTTTTATAATTTTATCAATTCAACATTGATAAAAGATAAATTATTATTATACGAGGGCTGTCCAGAATGTGACAGACGTTTTGCGCTATTGCGGTAGTGGGCAGGGCTAGCACCGCCATCTTGGCTTTAGAGTGTTCCTGTTCCTACACTCAGTACGCAACCAGCTATGATATCCTGCACATCGTTCCTATCGTACTTTGTTTACAGTGGAGTGTTAAAATGAGCGCTGCAATTGAATACAGATAGCAGAGAAGCACTACTCACCCTGAACAGACCACGAATTTATTCAGGGTTAGTACTAGAATGTCACGAAGTTTTGGCCGAAGTATCCATCAACAACGTGGTCACCTTAAGATGGATCAAAGGTCAGGCTATATCGATAGATAGCCGCTTTGCTGATTTACTGGCCAATAAAGCAGTCAACCAAATACGTTTTGGACCTGGCCCTTCCATTGTTCTGACAAAATCGGTAGTGACAAAGAACATTCCCTCGTAAATTTTAGGGAAAGATAAGATAAAACAAGAAACTGTAGAGTTGCCAGGAACTTTTATGTTATCCAAGCAAATACTTGACTATGACTAGTCTCAGGCATTCTGACTGGTCAATGTCAATTACGGAAGCATCTCCATATCATGGGGCTGTTGTAATCCGCATTCTGCAGAGGGTGCGAACAAGAAGATGAGACCATCCAACATATTCTCTACGATTGGTCGACACTCTCATTTATTAGAAGAATTTTGTTCGGCCGGTGTTAGCCGATGCTAACACCAGCCGATATAAGAGAAGCACCTCTTAGCGACGTTATTAACTACATTAAATCTGTAGACTGGCTCTCGAGCTTGGAGGTGCTTATCATCTTAGGAGGATGCACAATGGGGCTAGTAAGGCCTAAGTGGAGGTAACCCACCCTCCACACGTTATTGATGCAGATACAGATACCAAAGAAGTATTCACGAAAAAACATGTTAATACTCTCAAAAATAACTGTCATGTAGATATTGATTAAAATAGATAAAAAGTAGGAAACCACTACCAAATTCTCCACCAAGAAACAACCTTGGCCATTGATAAACAACATATTTACAAGCGGTCATTACCCTAATGAGTTTAAAAAGGCTGTAGTTACACCTATTTTTAAAAAAGGTAATAAAAAGGACGTTAGTAACTACCGTCCAATATCCGTCATTAGTGGCCTTACTAAAATGTTCGAAAAATGTCTAAAATCTAGATTAAATAAATACTTAAATAAAAATGATATTATTTCTAAATCTCAGTTTGGATTCAAAGAAAATGTTTCTACTACAGATGCAACGTCAACCCTATTAAGTGAAATATATAAATGCCTTGATGCTAGTAAACCTAGCTTGTGTGTATTTTTAGACCTAGCAAAAGCTTTCGATACCGTCCATCATGGAAAATTACTGGAAGCATTGGAGAACATTGGTATTCGTGGTATAACGCTAGACCTATTCAGAAATTATTTAAATGAACGGAAGCAAATAGTTAAAATCGGTAATACCATTAGTAGGGAAAAGAACTTTGGAAAACCACAAGGTACAATTCTTGGGCCGCTATTATTTTCGATCTATATTAATAATCTGTTTACCCTACAAACAACGGGAAAAATAATTAGCTTCGCTAACGATACCGCCATATTCTATTCAGCAGACTCATGGGAAAATCTGAAAAATAAAGCTAAAAATAAAGTTTAACCCGCCCCATCCCCCATCTCCCCCCCCCCCATAGGCCCCCCCCTCAAGGAAAAAATTCTATCTCTTACCGTTACGGAGATATGCAATTGTTGGCGGCTGTTTTAGGGAGGGGGTGGAAGTAACTAAATTTTTTTTATTCCTTTTTTGATTCTCTGTACATACATATAATATGATCCCTATCGCATTTCAAATAAAGCCGACATAGATGTTTTTTTATGGAGAGTGGGGGTAATTTTACACTTTTTGTCAAATTTCTCGATTACGGTCGATTTTATGGGAATTATGTATAGAACAAAAATTATAGAGAATTACATTACAAACAACTTTTATTTGAAGAATTTTTTTCTTTTAAAAAAATGAAAAATGAGAAATGATATACATAAATTGGTATAAATATTTATTCAAAGTAAATTTGCACATACATATATTTATTAAAATTTACATCTCTTCAAATACCATTATTTACGTTTTTTTTCTTTCTTCTTCTCATCAGATGCCCCGTTTACCATCACTTGACTGATTTGTTGCGCCTCTGGTTGGAACTTCCCCCAATTTGAATTCAACCACTCAAGCTCCTTATCAGCTTGCTCCCTGGTAATTATGGCTGATATGTTGATGGACATTTTTGCTGATTTTCTGAGCGGACTGGCTGGAGTGGAATGAATATCTAACTGTGGGCATCCGCTATTTATAGCCGTTGGAATGAGTAGGGAGTGGAGGGGAGAGATAGTTTGATATTGGTAAAAAAAAGTCACAATAATTTGTTACATATATATTTCATATACATTAATTTTCTATTTACATTTCATCTAATAATAGTCTTAACAGTAACTCTAATCTATTTTCATCACTAACATTATTTACAATATTGGCTACATTATATTTGAATTCGGCTACAGTTTTTCGAGGTCCATTACGATATTCCTGAATATCTCTGTGTCCCCACGGTAGAGTTTTTACGGTATTTGGTATTATAAACCTTTTGTCATCGTTGTAAGATAATGCGACTTTGTTTTTCATTTCAGTATATATATCATGTAACTTACTCCTGAATGTATTCATTTTTCTAAATATCTTACCCCCGCCTTCTACAATCTTTTGATAATCCGACATGTTTAAGCTGCTTTGTATTACGCATTTTTTTACTCCCTTAGCGGCTTTGGTTTCTTTCTCATCTGATCTAATATAGTAGGCCTTGGCGCCTGTCCCTAAAAATGTGCTGATGGCCTGATTTGGATACTCATCTTTGAAATTCCCCAATATTGGTTTACTTACGGGTAGGTTAAATTTATTATCCGTTTTATAATTAGATGTGTCGAAATGTTCTATATTTCTCCCCATAAATTCATAAAAATTAATTGTATCAACTTTAAGTACAAAACTATCGGTATCTGTGTAAAGTAATGAAATTTGATCAACTAATTGCTGTTTTAATATTCCATAATAATCGTACATCCTTACTTTTGACAATTCCAACACTGTGAAACCGATGTACAATGGTTTGTTATAGCATATTTTGGTTCTACCCATATGTATAGCCACAAAGTGTTCTGAAAATATAGAACAAGACTTAAAATTCGGTCGAGCAATTAAATTGTTTGCGCCTGGGGAATTTCTCTTACTAACCCAGTGGGTTTTAAGGTAAATATCTCGTCTGTCATCCACGTTTTCCATAGTTTTCCCGTACACACTATTGACCATGCGCTTAAAGTGATTTCTCTCAGATGTGTGCTTGGCATTGTTTCTCATATTAGTATTGAGATCTATGTATTTTTTCAGCCAACGTGACTGCTTAAACTTGAGGGCGCGATGAATTTCAGTTACAATTAGTCCATTATTTATGGCCTGCTTGAAGTTTCTATAGTGTAGTATGTATTTGTCTTTGTGGTTTAAATTCGGCACCAGTTTGGGGATTTCTGTTTTGGAATTAGGTGGAATTATATTCTCCACTAAAAATGGCAAATCGGCGTGTTTATCATGAAGGTGTTGTGGATATGTTACATCAACTTCTAATACATAGCCATAATCCCCGAGATCATCAACTGACATTACATCGAGTTGATTAATTTCCTCGGTCGATAACCATGCAAATTCTCCTGTGGGTAGTGGCTGACTCATACTATACCCATAGAGATTTGTGGCATCAATATAGTGTATAGAGGACTTTGGCTCGAAGGGATTATATTCCGATAAATACTGATTATTGGCAATATGTTTTCTTTCCACACATTGAGTGATACCGCCACGTATACTATTTTTGAAGAAATTAATCATATCAATATCTGTCAGCAACTCTAACTCCACCTTGGTGTAGCGCAACATCGCATTCCATGACAGACCTGGAGATGTATAATATTGCGCTGGATCTAGTTTATATGCTTTAAGCGATACATCTCTAAAATTTTCAAATATATCGCATAACATTAGAACATCTGATTTTAAATATAAATCAGAATACGATCCCAAGGTTTGGCAATTAAATACATCCCACACTTTCTGGGCCCTCGCGTAATCCTCGTCGGATATGTGACAATCATTTAACTTATCATAAAACTCATCTTTTGAGGGTAAATTTGGGTGATCTAATTTCAATATATTATCCATGAAATTATATGGAAACACCCCTTTCTGTCTCATCAAATCAAATTTTTCTTTTTCTGCAAAACATTTCCTTGTTTCAACAAAAAATTCTGATGGCAAGTTTTCCGACAGCCCAACCAAGGAATCCGCTAAAAATCTGTAACTATCCAAAAATCTGAGTTTTATGTAATTTTTTCTCAAAATACCGTCTCTATCTACATAGCTATGGGTGTACAATGGTTTTGTGAACGAAATATATTTTTCTTTATTTTGGGCAATAACTTCGGCTCTCTCACCTTCCCCATACAATTCTTTAATAAATAAATGGCTGTCATACCCACTCAAATTATGGAAAAATATTGGGACAAATTGCGGGATTTTATAATTTAAATTACAATTGCTATGCGCGGCGCCGGGTGTTTTCTTACCGGTAAGATGGCAATGATCTCTTACTTTAACTTCGCCTTCTTGAAAGGTCTCATCGCAAATAGAGCATATAGTCGATGTGTTAAAATCATCTATTTCATCTTTAGACAGTCGCTGCATTGGAACAATGTCTTTTAAATGAGTATTATAAATAGTTAATACATCATCCTCTAAGCGTTTTACGAAATCGCTCGCGGCATTATCGCCGGTAAAAGTTACAAATTTCGTCAATGAATCATCAAATGAACATTTAATCAGATATGCAAAAGCATATGGCTCATGTTGGTATGTAGGGATGGTGAATTTTTTTTCCGGATCTGGTTCGCAATGATCTATAGGTTTTAGGATCGATTCAAAATCGGCATAAATTACAAATGGGACTCTTAGTTGCTTACCATAATTTTGAAACTTCAGTATATTTTCGGGGACATAATTACCGCGTTTGTCTTTTTTAAGCTCCACTGATGGTGTACTGGTATATATATGATTACAATCGCACAATTGATGACGTAATAGGACGCTTTCAGATGGAAAATAAAGTAAACACCCGTCACAAAAAAATTTTTTATGACCATTTTTAGTTATTTGACTCGAAACTAATCTGGATATACTTTTAATCCAACAATAGTGACTATTACCGGAATCTTCTGTTATTAGCAGTAAATTTATATGATGCCCTAACCTTCTACGGGAATATCGTAATGGGCCTACTATTTCAAATTTAGCCTTACCATTTTCATAACTATGTTCCAAGCCATAAACATTAACACTTATATCATTGAGGTCTTCAAATTTTGAAATGTCTTTAAGCTTCATGGGAAATTCAATGCCATCAACATTCAGCACGGTCTCGAAGTGTGGATACGATGACATTAGGCTAACATGATCTCTGGCTGGATATAGAGCTAATGTGATGGCCCAAGCAAAGCAGTACGCATCATTATTCTGCACATTCACTACACCCTTCTTGGTTTCAATAAACTTAGGCAGCTTTATGTATGAGCAGCCTCCTAACGGAGAGTACTTATTTATATTAACTTCTAGAAATAGTACTTCCTGTAATGACCAACCTGAAACAATGAATAATTTATTAGTTACCGATGTATTATGTATTATATAACTACTATACCTGAATCTTTATGTTGGAAGTCTACGGTTTGAGATACCAAGGCGTCCTTAAAGTTTGCATATACCACATCCAAATCCGTCGGCAAATCTAGTATTCGATTTATGCTATTAAAAGATTTGATTTCAGAATTATCTTGGCTCTGCAATACATATGTAGCGAAGACCTCTACATTAACTTTAATGGCATTATGGGCCCTCAGAACAACTTTCAACAATTCCAATACCCTCACTTTTATAGCCTCAAAAAATGTTATATAGTCTATATGTTTTTCATCACTTTTGACTCTATAACTTGCGATTCTGCACTTAAATGCACTCTTAATTAAATATATACCATCGACATGAATTGTGCATGCCTTTTCTTTATGACTAAGACTCCTCATATGTGATGTCATCTGATTGGTTGCGATGTCTACATTACATGATTCACATCTACTTTTATGAACTTGTGGGTCTACGGTACGATGTTAAACTCGCATTACACGAGCTTGTTTTACCGGTAAAACATCCGGGCTTGAATTGGCGGTTCTTTTCGTACCGCTGGATGATTCACCATTGCGGTTAGATATCAGATTACAACTTTTATTTTGATGTCGTCGTAAATTATCTGCTCTTGTAAATGTTAAACCGCAATTACACTTATACATATCTACTATTTTTATGATTATTTCGATATTAGATAATGAAACTTCCAACGCACTTATAGCTCGCGACTGATCTCATTCGTATAGATGTGATATTATATACCTCTCAATAAATCCCCACCTCCACTATGCTCCCCTCCCCTATTCATAATATACGGGAACAGCTCCAATTCTTGTTACTTCGGTATAGAGTAACGTAAATTCTAAATACATAGTAATCACTAGGAGGTAATGAGATGTACTTACTATGCTCATTACACTACTCAATTAAGTTCATTAAAGTATATAATTTACAGAATAATTGGGAGGCACTTGCTAATTGCGCGAAGGGTGGGATACTACCCCTTCCAACAATATTTACATCGCGCGTGTCTGCCGAAGACCGGTGATTCACTTTAGCTATGGCGGTTGAGAGTCAAGGGTGTGCATGGCGCCGACTTATTTCCCCTATGCTACAACAGTAAACAAGAGAAGTACTTAGACTTATTACACTACGTGATATACACAGTAAATACTGTCTGAGAGGTATGCATATGGTGTAATGAGAGGTACTTACTATGCTCATTACACTATGCAATTACACTCAGTACAGAATAATTGGTTGGTCCTTACATCACTATGTGTACTGAGAGGTACTTACTATACTCATTACACTATGCAATTACACTCATTACACTATGCGATAACATGGTGTACAGAGTAATTCAGAGGTACTTGCTAATTGCGCGAAGGGTGGGGGGTACTTGCTAATTGCGCGAAGGGTGGGGGGTACTTGCTAATTGCTCGAAGGGTGGGGGGTACTTGCTCGAAGGGTGGGGGTGGGTACTTAGGGTAATTACTAATTACACCAATTGCCTCTGACCTTGCCTCTGACCTTGGTCCAGAACTGGCTAATCCCATCTACTATTTAGCCGTTTTTACACGACCTGATTTATCATATGCCGTGAGTATCCAGGTCCAGTTCATTGGGTAGCCGTAAAACGTGTATATTTAAGAAAAATTGAACATTTTGGACTTATTTTCAAAAGCACACACACATCACTGCATGGCTGTGTAGATGCAGACTGGGGAAATCCAAACGATGGAAGATCGTACACAGCAAAGACATTGCAAATGTCTTTGGTACACAGGTTTTGTGTACATGGTAAGCTCAAAAACAAAAAACAGTAGCACTATCCAGTACGGAATCAGAATATATGGCGCTATCTCAGGCAGCAAAAGAGGTAGTACTCTTAAGAAATTTTCTGAAAGAAGTTTTTCAAACTATTAAGATCGTTTGTCAATAGTCTATTGTGACAATCAGGGAGCCAGAAAATTAACACAAAACCAAGTACATCATTTACGAACCAAACATATCGACATCCGACACCATTATGTACGAAAAGTATATGACAAATAAGAAATTGAAATTGAGTATATCCCGATACACAGCATGGTGGCTGACATTTTCACAAAGCCCCATTTACAAACCAAGCTTTCAAACTCACGTCGGATCACTAGGAGTTAGGTTTTTAGATTAAGAGGGGTTGTTAGAGTTCATGAGAGTTATCATCTTAACTACTTACTTCTATGCATTTACTAGTCTACTAGAATATTGAAGTTGTCAATTTAATTTTTTATATAGCTTGTCAAATAAACTGTGTTACGGAAGTTCCTAGTCTTTCTTTTGCATATATCCAACATATCTCTCTATAATTCAAATAAAAAGTAACTACCGCTATTATAAAAACACTGGAAAATGGTCCAAAATTAAAAATTTATGCTCCACTAAATAAAAATAATATATTAGATTAAAAAAAAATAATGTACGAACCTTGATTTGTAATTTTGTGACGTCACACCCATCCTCAGCAATGGAAAGAGGCTACCGTAGTAGTTTAGTAACCATGATTTTGACAACCGGAAGTATTTCATATTTACAACATATTTTTTTGTTTTGTACAACTTTATAATGCTCAAATTAGATTGTTTTCTCCGCTGTCCGTATATCATAACTTTATAACATCAAAACTATATTTACCCAAATACTACTTTACAGTAAAACGTTCTAAACATTAAATTCAAAATTCCCTTATATCAAAATATATATGTATGTATATAGACCCTGCGAAACTCTCCATTAATTTTCCTTTTGCAGGGACATCGTGGAATCGTGGACACCTAAATTACTCTTGGCTTTCCTAAGAACAATATTATAAATCTATACAAGCGGTAACTTATAGTCGCATTTAAATTTGCACTTACTCATATTTGGTTTGGAAGATTACCCTTCTCTGAATAATTTTCACAGAATAGGTTGAGATTACTACAACAGAAAACAGTAGTTATAAATTTCTACTACATAGAATTATCCAGAGTCAGAACAAAGGGTGTTCTTTTGTCAAAATTAATAATATTAAAACAACTTATTTTTTATTTATAAAAATGTTTCTTTTGATAACATTAAGTTGTTAACTAATTTGATTAGAAAAAAATCCCGTCACTGACAGGAGTCGAAAGCGAGACCCACGGATCCGAAAGTACTAATTCTAACCCCATGTGAATATGATTGCCATTATTTATCGATTCTTCACAAGAATCACCCATTTTCAATTATATTTTATATTAATAACTAAAAAGTATTTTGACATAAGGTTTGACAGACTTGTCAATAAATTAAAATAAAAAAAATGTCAGCTGCACAAAAAAAATGTTACAGGATATTGTAACGATAGTTTAATTTATTTATAGTTTATTTATATAAAACACTATTTACAATTTATTATTGACGTAATAATTAATTTATATAATACTTAGACACTAACTCACAATTCTAATTTATCTATTACAATTTATTTTTTCAGTCCAATACTTTATTCTAAACTACTCGTCCGTCGACGAACTTGCGCTATTTATACAAAGCCCATTCTGTACTCATAGTTTCTAGACGCTTTCGATTGTCACCAGAAAATTCCATCTCGATGACTCAACGGCCACGTATTGCTTTTTCTGGTAGATTCGAGAAGTGGCGCGTTTGTCTCTATAGGTCAGCGGTGTTTCGACTATGGGTCGAGTGGCAGGCTGAAGGTCACGCACTACAGCGACCGCTTAGGCATTCCAATGACAATATATGAGCTTAAATTAAACATGTAACTTTTCACTTAAGACTATAAACATTTCCAGTAGAGCAAAATATTTTCTTGAACAATAATTTCAAATTAAGCTTGATAGTTTTAATATGAGAAATAATTTGCTTAACAATTTTACGATTCTTAAACCTAAGATAAAAATCATTTTTTTTTTTATATAGAACTTTTTCTTTTTAAAAGCATTACTATAATCACTTTGTTAAGGCAGGAACAAACAATCAAATTTAATTTCAATTAAGATTAGATAAAAGAAGTAAAAAAATAAGTAGCCTGCGATTCTTAAAGTATTTTTGTATTATAATTCTTTATTTAAGAAACGAATATCTTGATTTATTTAAGTAATATATTTATTTATTTATTTAAGAAAATTGTTGAAAATTGTAGAAAATTGTTGAAAATTGTTGAAAATTGTTGAAAATTGTTGAAAATTGTTGAAAATTGTTGAAAATTGTTGAAAATTGTTGAAAATTGTTGAAAATTGTGGAAAATTGTTGAAAATTGTTGAAAATTGTTGAAAATTGTTGAAAATTGTTAAAAATTGTTGAAAATTGTTGAAAATTGATAAAAATTGTTGAAAATTGTTGAAAATTGTTAAAAATTGTTGAAAATTGTTGAAAATTGTTGAAAATTGTTGAAAATTGTTGAAAATTGTTGAAAATTGTTGAAAATTGTTGAAAATTGTTGAAAATTGTTAAAAATTGTTGAAAATTGTTGAAAATTGTTAAAAAATGTTGAAAAATGGGTAAAAAGGGTTGAAAATTGTTGAAAATTGTTGAAAATTGTTGAAAATTGTTGAAAATTTTTGAAAATTTGAAAATTGTTGAAAATTGTTGAAAATTGTTGAAAATTGTTGAAAATTGTTGAAAATTGTTGAAAATTGTTGAAAATTGTTGAAAATTGTTGAAAATTGTTGAAAATTGTTGAAAATTGTTGAAAATTGTTGAAAATTGTTGAAAATTGTTGAAAATTGTTGAAAATTGTTGAAAATTGTTGAAAATTGTTGAAAATTGTTGAAAATTGTTGAAAATTGTTGAAAATTGTTGAAAATTGTTGAAAATTGTTGAAAATTGTTGAAAATTGTTGAAAATTGTTGAAAATTGTTGAAAATTGTTGAAAATTGTTGAAAATTGTTGAAAATTGTTGAAAATTGTTGAAAATTGTTGAAAATTGTTGAAAATTGTTGAAAATTGTTGAAAAATGTTGAAAATTGTTGAAAATTGTTGAAAATTGTTGAAAATTGTTGAAAATTGTTGAAAATTGTTGAAAATGGTTGAAAATTGTTAAAAATTGTTGAAAATTGTTGAAAATTGTTGAAAATTAATGAAAATTGTTAAAAATTGTTGAAAATGCGACTTTGTTTTTCATTTCAGTATATATATCATGTAACTTACTCCTGAATGTATTCATTTTTCTAAATATCTTACCCCCGCCTTCTACAATCTTTTGATAATCCGACATGTTTAAGCTGCTTTGTATTACGCATTTTTTTACTCCCTTAGCGGCTTTGGTTTCTTTCTCATCTGATCTAATATAGTAGGCCTTGGCGCCTGTCCCTAAAAATGTGCTGATGGCCTGATTTGGATACTCATCTTTGAAATTCCCCAATATTGGTTTACTTACGGGTAGGTTAAATTTATTATCCGTTTTATAATTAGATGTGTCGAAATGTTCTATATTTCTCCCCATAAATTCATAAAAATTAATTGTATCAACTTTAAGTACAAAACTATCGGTATCTGTGTAAAGTAATGAAATTTGATCAACTAATTGCTGTTTTAATATTCCATAATAATCGTACATCCTTACTTTTGACAATTCCAACACTGTGAAACCGATGTACAATGGTTTGTTATAGCATATTTTGGTTCTACCCATATGTATAGCCACAAAGTGTTCTGAAAATATAGAACAAGACTTAAAATTCGGTCGAGCAATTAAATTGTTTGCGCCTGGGGAATTTCTCTTACTAACCCAGTGGGTTTTAAGGTAAATATCTCGTCTGTCATCCACGTTTTCCATAGTTTTCCCGTACACACTATTGACCATGCGCTTAAAGTGATTTCTCTCAGATGTGTGCTTGGCATTGTTTCTCATATTAGTATTGAGATCTATGTATTTTTTCAGCCAACGTGACTGCTTAAACTTGAGGGCGCGATGAATTTCAGTTACAATTAGTCCATTATTTATGGCCTGCTTGAAGTTTCTATAGTGTAGTATGTATTTGTCTTTGTGGTTTAAATTCGGCACCAGTTTGGGGATTTCTGTTTTGGAATTAGGTGGAATTATATTCTCCACTAAAAATGGCAAATCGGCGTGTTTATCATGAAGGTGTTGTGGATATGTTACATCAACTTCTAATACATAGCCATAATCCCCGAGATCATCAACTGACATTACATCGAGTTGATTAATTTCCTCGGTCGATAACCATGCAAATTCTCCTGTGGGTAGTGGCTGACTCATACTATACCCATAGAGATTTGTGGCATCAATATAGTGTATAGAGGACTTTGGCTCGAAGGGATTATATTCCGATAAATACTGATTATTGGCAATATGTTTTCTTTCCACACATTGAGTGATACCGCCACGTATACTATTTTTGAAGAAATTAATCATATCAATATCTGTCAGCAACTCTAACTCCACCTTGGTGTAGCGCAACATCGCATTCCATGACAGACCTGGAGATGTATAATATTGCGCTGGATCTAGTTTATATGCTTTAAGCGATACATCTCTAAAATTTTCAAATATATCGCATAACATTAGAACATCTGATTTTAAATATAAATCAGAATACGATCCCAAGGTTTGGCAATTAAATACATCCCACACTTTCTGGGCCCTCGCGTAATCCTCGTCGGATATGTGACAATCATTTAACTTATCATAAAACTCATCTTTTGAGGGTAAATTTGGGTGATCTAATTTCAATATATTATCCATGAAATTATATGGAAACACCCCTTTCTGTCTCATCAAATCAAATTTTTCTTTTTCTGCAAAACATTTCCTTGTTTCAACAAAAAATTCTGATGGCAAGTTTTCCGACAGCCCAACCAAGGAATCCGCTAAAAATCTGTAACTATCCAAAAATCTGAGTTTTATGTAATTTTTTCTCAAAATACCGTCTCTATCTACATAGCTATGGGTGTACAATGGTTTTGTGAACGAAATATATTTTTCTTTATTTTGGCCAATAACTTCGGCTCTCTCACCTTCCCCATACAATTCTTTAATAAATAAATGGCTGTCATACCCACTCAAATTATGGAAAAATATTGGGACAAATTGCGGGATTTTATAATTTAAATTACAATTGCTATGCGCGGCGCCGGGTGTTTTCTTACCGGTAAGATGGCAATGATCTCTTACTTTAACTTCGCCTTCTTGAAAGGTCTCATCGCAAATAGAGCATATAGTCGATGTGTTAAAATCATCTATTTCATCTTTAGACAGTCGCTGCATTGGAACAATGTCTTTTAAATGAGTATTATAAATAGTTAATACATCATCCTCTAAGCGTTTTACGAAATCGCTCGCGGCATTATCGCCGGTAAAAGTTACAAATTTCGTCAATGAATCATCAAATGAACATTTAATCAGATATGCAAAAGCATATGGCTCATGTTGGTATGTAGGGATGGTGAATTTTTTTTCCGGATCTGGTTCGCAATGATCTATAGGTTTTAGGATCGATTCAAAATCGGCATAAATTACAAATGGGACTCTTAGTTGCTTACCATAATTTTGAAACTTCAGTATATTTTCGGGGACATAATTACCGCGTTTGTCTTTTTTAAGCTCCACTGATGGTGTACTGGTATATATATGATTACAATCGCACAATTGATGACGTAATAGGACGCTTTCAGATGGAAAATAAAGTAAACACCCGTCACAAAAAAATTTTTTATGACCATTTTTAGTTATTTGACTCGAAACTAATCTGGATATACTTTTAATCCAACAATAGTGACTATTACCGGAATCTTCTGTTATTAGCAGTAAATTTATATGATGCCCTAACCTTCTACGGGAATATCGTAATGGGCCTACTATTTCAAATTTAGCCTTACCATTTTCATAACTATGTTCCAAGCCATAAACATTAACACTTATATCATTGAGGTCTTCAAATTTTGAAATGTCTTTAAGCTTCATGGGAAATTCAATGCCATCAACATTCAGCACGGTCTCGAAGTGTGGATACGATGACATTAGGCTAACATGATCTCTGGCTGGATATAGAGCTAATGTGATGGCCCAAGCAAAGCAGTACGCATCATTATTCTGCACATTCACTACACCCTTCTTGGTTTCAATAAACTTAGGCAGCTTTATGTATGAGCAGCCTCCTAACGGAGAGTACTTATTTATATTAACTTCTAGAAATAGTACTTCCTGTAATGACCAACCTGAAACAATGAATAATTTATTAGTTACCGATGTATTATGTATTATATAACTACTATACCTGAATCTTTATGTTGGAAGTCTAGAACTTTTTCTTTTTAAAAGCATTACTATAATCACTTTGTTAAGGCAGGAACAAACAATCAAATTTAATTTCAATTAAGATTAGATAAAAGAAGTAAAAAAATAAGTAGCCTGCGATTCTTAAAGTATTTTTGTATTATAATTCTTTATTTAAGAAACGAATATCTTGATTTATTTAAGTAATATATTTATTTATTTATTTAAGAAAATTGTTGAAAATTGTAGAAAATTGTTGAAAATTGTTGAAAATTGTTGAAAATTGTTGAAAATTGTTGAAAATTGTTGAAAATTGTTGAAAATTGTTGAAAATTGTTGAAAATTGTGGAAAATTGTTGAAAATTGTTGAAAATTGTTGAAAATTGTTGAAAATTGTTAAAAATTGTTGAAAATTGTTGAAAATTGATAAAAATTGTTGAAAATTGTTGAAAATTGTTAAAAATTGTTGAAAATTGTTGAAAATTGTTGAAAATTGTTGAAAATTGTTGAAAATTGTTGAAAATTGTTGAAAATTGTTGAAAATTGTTGAAAATTGTTAAAAATTGTTGAAAATTGTTGAAAATTGTTAAAAAATGTTGAAAAAATGGGTAAAAAGGGTTGAAAATTGTTGAAAATTGTTGAAAAATTGTTGAAAATTGTTGAAAATTTTTGAAAATTTGAAAATTGTTGAAAATTGTTGAAAATTGTTGAAAATTGTTGAAAATTGTTGAAAATTGTTGAAAATTGTTGAAAATTGTTGAAAATTGTTGAAAATTGTTGAAAATTGTTGAAAATTGTTGAAAATTGTTGAAAATTGTTGAAAATTGTTGAAAATTGTTGAAAATTGTTGAAAATTGTTGAAAATTGTTGAAAATTGTTGAAAATTGTTGAAAATTGTTGAAAATTGTTGAAAATTGTTGAAAATTGTTGAAAATTGTTGAAAATTGTTGAAAATTGTTGAAAATTGTTGAAAATTGTTGAAAATTGTTGAAAATTGTTGAAAATTGTTGAAAATTGTTGAAAATTGTTGAAAATTGTTGAAAATTGTTGAAAAATGTTGAAAATTGTTGAAAATTGTTGAAAATTGTTGAAAATTGTTGAAAATGGTTGAAAATTGTTAAAAATTGTTGAAAATTGTTGAAAATTGTTGAAAATTAATGAAAATTGTTAAAAATTGTTGAAAATTGTTGAAAATTGTTATTTAATTAACATGAAAATTTATTATAATTTATGTCATTTTTTTTGTGTAACAAAGTAGTATTTTTAACCCTAGAATTTTTTTTCAAAATATAACAGGGGTGCCAAGCAATTAATTTTTTTATGAAATTAAAGAACGATGCAGTCCCCAAAATAAATTATCATAATTTAGGTAGGTTTAAATTGAATTCAAAATTGTTTAGTATACAAACCTATAAGATAATAAGCTAATTAATGGTGGTGATAGAACTGGCTTTATTTTACACATAGTGTTTTGAAACATGTCTTAAATATGACTAATTTTAAGTTCAATTTTCTCAATTTTTTCAAATACAACACCGTGAATATTATTTTGTCATAAAATTCCTTGTGAAATACCTATTTAATGATACCAACATGTTAGCCAATATAACATATACAGAGTGTGTCATCAGTGCGTAATTGTACTATAACTGTTTTATTATTGGAAATACGAAAAAAAAAATTATAATGAACGTTGTGTAACAATTATTCTAAAAGATGCAGGAACGTCCATAAATGAGGGGCTCACCAAACCTATACTTTTTTAAAGCAAAATACCCTGCAGGTAGTTATACGTATTTGTTGTCACTTTGTGAAACAATTTTAATTGACTTCATTTATTTACTATGTTGTATATAGAATGCAACAAAACGCGAGGTTACGATTTTCTCAATTTTTTAAATGGTACCTATATAATATGTGTAATGTAATAATTAAATAAAATAAGAAATGAGTATCAAAATAGTTTTATAATTAAAAGAAATTAGTACCGTGACAATCCACCTATTCTGTATTTCGATGTCCCGAAAAACCAATGCGTGCGCATTACCCCTATTTCCACTTCCAAATTTATACTGTTTAAACGTTGGCATTAACTGCAAGTCGATTAATTCTTAAATGTCATTATTCTAACCTTATAAAGTTTAGAAACAAACTATAAAATCTTTAAAATTTTGTGTTCATTACCTAAAAAGGATAAATTATCCTTAATTTTATGCTGCTTAATGTTTGGCCTAGTTGTGTTTTAAAAGAATTCTCAAAAGTCATTAAAAAAGTATTATCTTAACTATCTAAATTTCAAAACTAAATAAAACTTTGATGACTTGCAAAGGGTTTTAATCCTGTTTTTAAGAAGAACAGGTAAAAGATGTGGACAAAGAATATTTCTTTATTAAAAGATTTTATTTTTGAAATTGCTGGAGAATTTTTAAAACAGCATGGATTGTTAAGTAACCAACATTCTAGAGGTAAGTTACTTATATGTAAGTTTAGATCTTTATTTATTATTCATTTTTTTCAGGATATAAATTCTTTGTTGAGGGTTACATTCATGATGTGTGGTTCGATGATGAGAATTTTGTGTTGAAGGGCAAATCCTATCATTCACAAAAAAGGAATGAAAAACCCCATTCACTTAATATGGCATTTCAAATGCAACCGAATTTAAAAATATTAGAGTGTCATTGTTCTTGTGAAGTAGGGTAGGATATTTTAATAAATTTTTAATACCATTAAAAAATAACCATGCATATTTCAGGCTATCTCAATCATGCCACCACGTTATTGGATTGGCATTCTATCTACAAGATTTAATATTAAAGGGTAATGAAGAAATTACGGAATGTATTGTATCCACTTCTAGGCCCATGGAATGGTGTAAACCTAGAGGTACAAAAGTGATCCCAGAGGCAATCACCAAAGTCACTTTTTATAAGCCAACAAAGGTGACGAGAAAAAAAAATCCCATCACACATAAAATTTTAAAACCATATGTGTCCATTAAAAATGGGAGTGAAGAAGGAAAAGAAAATAGCTTATTAAAATTAGAAAAAAAAATAATGTCTTAGGATAGTGGTATTTATTTACCACAAATAATAGGAAAAGGTAATTCTGGTAAGACTTAATTGTGAAGTACTTTATTAATGTGATTTATTTTCAGATTAAATTATGACTATCTTAGGATATCAAAATGAAGATAATGATGATGAGAATGATTTGCCCATTGAGTTGCCCCTTTTAGATTCGGAAATTTGCAACATCTTGATAAGTTTACCTCAACCCGATATTGAAAATGTAACCTTTCAAGAAAGTAAGGAGCTAGAGATTCAAACCAGGGGGCAGAACACAAGTCAAATCTGGCACCAAAGAAGAAAAAATATTTTCACATCCTCTATATTTGGTAAGTTTGAAAGTGAATATTTAAGTATTTTGTTAACATTTTTATTTAATTTCCAGGAATATTATTTAAACGAATAAAACCTATTGATTTGCAATTTTTTGAAAATTTATTTGGTCAAAAAAATTTAGATCACGTCAAATCAATTCAAGATGGGAGGAAGGAGGAAAAAAATGCAAGGGAGCTGTATATGTCAAATACAGGCCACAAAGTTTACACTTGTGGATTGATAATCCATCCTTACGCTCCACACTTGGGGACAAGTCCAGATGGGATTGTCTTAACAAAGAGTAAATAATTGGGACTTGTTGAATTTAAATGCCCCTATGCATCGAAAACATCCAATTTAAAAGATGCACTTAAATTAAAAAACTTTTTTTGAAAGAAGATGAAAATAGAAGAATAATTGGTAACATGAATCAATCAATCAGGTATAAAGTGGTGTGACCTTTGTACTTATTTTAAATTAAAAAACGAGGCGATTATAACCAGGGTTGAATTTGACATTTTGTGTAGAAATGTACGAAAAATTAACGAATTTGTTTAATATATTTTTAGAATTTTAATGAAAATGTTTTATTTTTAAACAATTATAAATGTGTCATAAATAAATATTAAATTATAAATTGTTTATTTCCTTATTGGACTCATAAAATTTGTTAATAGTGCACAAACTGTATATATCTGATTAATACAACCTAATAATGAAATTGGAATAGTATGGGATAAAATTTTAAATGTTTTCAATCTCCTAATAGCTCGTTCCACGTGAATTCTTTCATGTGCTATTTTTCTCATATATTTAATATCTTGCTCATGAAATTGCATCCCATTTCTTTTAAATATAGGAATATTAATTTGTAATCCAATGTTATCTAACAGATCTTGAATTTCAAACCCTTTATCAGCAAGTATTATATCTCCTTCATTTATTTGCTTGTGATTCTTTTTTGCTTTTAGCAATTTCAAAAATCCACTTTCTTTAACAAGTTGTTTATCAGATATTGATCCTGAAAATATAAAGTTTACTTTATTATCTTACAATTATTTATATTCTTTTTACATATTTTAAAATTATCTATCGAAACCTAAATTACGATAAGTTCCTATGTTATAAAATAATAATGAATAATTTCTTACCAGTGAATAAAGTTGACACAAATATTATAGCACCATTTGGATTTATCATTATCAATGCTTTAAGCGTATTTGTACCTTTATAACTGGAATAGCATTGTGATTGCCTCACTAAAGAAGATGGTTTTTGAATATTAAATTCTGTGCAGTCAATACTTCCTATTACATTATCTGCTAATCTTAAATATAATAAATTCACCCAAGTTAGAAATATCCTTGCAACTGCTGATTGAGATATTAAAAGCAAATGTGCTAAATGATGATATTCATAATTTCTTTTTAATTTTATCAACGTTAAGAACATTTCGTTTAATGGGGTCATTTTATGCTTTCTTCTAAGTCTTTTACCTGTTTGATGCACAGCACCCATTGTAGTTTCTTTTTCCTATTTAAAAACAAATCTAAATATAATAATTAGTAATTTGTATGATTGAACACCGGTATAAAAAAAAAATTTATTTATCATCGTACATGAAATTTTCTACAGAAAATCTGCTAGTCAATCTAGTTTGGTTTGCAGTTATATTTTGTCTGCTAGTACCGGGATTTGGGTTTGTATCTTCAACATTTTCAATATTCACATTTTCATTATTAACATTTTCATTATTTCTATGTTACTTTCATATCCAAGATTTTGAGAAGGAACCCTTTTAGGTTTTAATTTGGTTAAAGTTGCAAATTTAAATAAATCATCTTCGTTAAAATGGAGTATGCAAATCTTAAAATTAATTAATTTTATGTTAATTTTATATTTTTATAACAGTTCAAATAAACCCTTGTACTTTTCTTTATAGATTGGGGATCTAATTTTAAGACTTCAATCCATCTGTCTCGGATATTTGATGCAGGTATACCTAAACTTGGTACATACAGTTTTTTTCTTGAATTAGGGCAATTAAGGACACAACAACGCATAATAATTTTTTTTAACCAACCATAAACAAAAAATAACAAAATGCCAAAGTTTTTATTTCCCTTCTTTTCGCTGCCACGGGTTGTTGATTTATATAACTAGATTTGAATGGAGTGGGGTTCGCGCCCAATCTGTCCGCGCATATGTTTTCGAGAAATTTTCAATTACGGGAAAGGTGAATATTATAACTAAATAAAATTTGTGGCACAGTAATCGAAAGATCGGTATGAAAACAAATGAAAATTGTTCTTTGTTTATTAGTTACATCTCTCTGTATTTTCTATTCATAGAAATGATTTCCTTGGCACTCCATAAACTTAAAAATTAAGAAAAAGTTAACATTAAGTAAATAAAATTTTATATTTTATACGAGTAATTTGAAATTACACACAGTATATCAATTTATAACTAGAACCTTGTCTGTTCTATTGATCAAAAGAAAATTGATTAGGGCTTGACTTTAGAGAAAAATAGAAATTTGTTGAAAAAAAGAACAGTGGCAGTTGGTTGATAGAAAGCAAGATCCACGTAAAATTTGTCAACATAATTCTTTGGAAAAAAAGCACATAGAAATAAACTACTCCAGTATATTCCAGACGTTAAATATTCTGTAAAAAAATGTTTAATGCAATTTATTAATAGTAATTAATACGAAATTTGTGCTTACCCAATCTCATATTGTTGCCATGCAACGTTCGTCAAAGTCCATAAGATAGACATTAAGTTTGCTGGTCCCAAAACACTTTGGTGATGTCCTGGTCTTGGTTTTAGGATATCAGTCTAGTTTATTGTCTCATTGTGGATAAGGAAGAGGCCTTACATAACAGACATTACTATTCAAACAATGTATAAGGTATTTGTTTATGTAACGTTGTATTTGTTTTTGTAATAATATTTCTCGTATAAAATATTGATAACAAATCTTTACCATTGTTTATTTTTATTTTTCACTGATTCCAACCTTTAATAATTTAAATTCAGACTTGTCAATAATTTTAAAGGCAGTTATACAAGTTATCAATATTTTGAATTTTTATAGGTTATAATTTATTTAATTTCATTATAGTGCGAATAAGGATAAATGAAAGGTATAATTAGTACATATTAATAGAAGTTTCATTTTTTAGATGTTCTAAAATAAATTTACTTACAGTACTTTGTTTAAAGTAAAACTAATTAACAGTTTTGTAGACATCAGTTGTATGAATTCTGGAGTATTTTTATTTTCAATGACAGCCGATCTATAGAGCACGCATCAAAAATAATCTGCTTGTTACCAGGGCCAAAGAATATTTTAGAACTGCGGATAAATCGAAACCCGAGATTTTAATAATAAAAATAAAATGAACAAAATAGTCTCAAGCTCAGTCCAAATGGAAGGTATTATGATATTTATTGATCTTTGTGAACATCACAGTACAATATAAAGAAAAGGTAAGTCAATACATTATAATATTGTTATTACAAATCATTAAATTTAAAAACAATTTTATTAATATTAAATAAAACATAACAATATATCGAAGTCTATTAAAATTATTTATTGATGTGAAAGCAATCAATTATGTCACGCTTCGTATAAATTCATATTTTTCCTAATTTTATTTAATTATTTAAATAACATCCTGTACATAAAACTTTGTTTA